TGATTGCCCAGTCACGCCTACCATATTAACTTTTGAAATCCTCCCTGTGGATGCCTTGATCCAGGGCTCCATAACAACAACTGATTGCTCAGGTACACCCATGAAAAACACATCACCTTGCATAAGATGCATGCATAATTCATGCTTTCAAGGAACTTTTCTCTCCCTCCTCCGGATGCAATTCCTGTGGTTAAGTCAGAATCTCATTAGGCAAGTAAACAGAGTGAGAGGAACTATAGCTGAGCCCACAGGGAAGGAAAAGGTTCACAGAGCATCACATCAGCATCCTTTTTCTCAATATGGTAATCCATCTTGATAGGCATTCTGCACTGGAAGGTTTTCCAAAGCTGCTTGCCTTTTTTTGACCTTGTTTGGCTGAGGAGCACATGAATCTTGAATGTGTGCTATGAGATCTTTCATCAAAAAGTTGGCATGGTGGGTTCAACTAATCATAGTATACTGTACTTATGAAGAGGCAAATGGATGAGGACCTCCTGCAGACCCACTGATCAGCCCTATTTATAGTATCTTTGTCTTTTGCACAAACTCCCTACCATTTTCACTCTCTAAGAAGGCCTCTAAGCCTATGTCAGGAGCAACACCGTGAGATACTTTGGAAATAAAATTGATCCTGGAAGTTACCATTTTGTACTGCACCATGCAATTCCCCCCCCTCTTTTTTTTTTTCCAAAAAAGAAAAAAAAGGCACAAGGAAATGTTGGTAGGCACACTCCATGTTGGGGACCCCAGGGTAAAGCAATTTTGCGCGGGTGTTAAGATGAGGAAGATCTGGTAGTTCTGGATCCATTTTAATCCGTTTCTCTCTTGGTCTGATGGACGTCTATGCTAAATAACTTTCTGTCTAGGGAATATTCACGGATGCAAAGACTATTCAACTTCTCTCTCTCAGTCTGGCCTGCAGAATACTCTTTTATGGCTCTTTTTTCAGTTTCTTGGTATAAGATCAGATTGTTCCCTCCCCCACCCCACCTTTCATTTTTTTCTCTGGAGATTTTAATGAATAAATGGATGTGTGTGTGTGTATCAATGGTATATATTCTTCATCTTGTTTCTGTATTTATTTTCTGTATCTATTAAGCGTTCTTCTCCATTTATTTATTCATTGCATGTACAGTACTACTTTTCTTTCTGAGCTCAAAGCAATAAATGTTATTCTCAACCCCCACCCTGTTGTGTGCATCCACCCACAACTTTGCAAGGATGATAAGGTGGCTGGCTCATGAGATCATTTCCTGGCTGTGTAGGGACTTGAACTAGTTCTAGTTCTACTACTAGTACTAGAACCAAGTACAAGCCCACCTCTCTAACCACTGATGTTCTTTCTTGTTCTTTTTTCCAAAGGTCCACAAAGGACGGCTTGATCTTAAAGGAAGCTGTAAAATAAAAACATGCTAATGTTCCAATAGAACAAATAGGATCAAATATGTGGTATTGTCCCAATAGAGGAAATAAACCAAATATAACAACTAAGTACACTTACTTTCATAGTTTCCTGCCAGAGTGGTATCATGATCTTTTCCTTTTGTCAACACCAGTAAATTAAAACACATTTCCAAAGAGTCACAAAGATGAACAGAATCAACCAGCCTTACCTGGTGACTGAGGAGGCACTCAAGAAGCAATGTATTTTTGTTGCTTGCTTGAGACTGTACTAAAAGAGGGGTATTCTCAAAATCCAGAAAGGCCAAAAACCTAGTTGCTGAGCTGCAATATTAAGGGATCATGATAGGTAGGTTTGAATTATTCCCATATCTCTTTGCAAATCAGGCCAAGCTCTCTCACTCATCTGACCATTCTGTATCCAAGTATGTCCTTTTACTGTGTTTGGTCACTGAAGTGTATTTATCTGCATTTAAGTGCAGATAAAAATCTGATTATTGCTACAACGCTACTGGCGTTGCAAATCAGTCTCTTGCCCTGTGGCAGAGATCCATCTTGCCGTATCTTACATAAGATTCTGGTAAATCAAAATGCAGCTGATAATGCTGAAAATGGCAGAGGGGACTGCCTCATTCTTGAAGAATGCCTATCAGGTTACCTAACTGAATGAGTATGCAGATTACACTTGTAAAACCTAATTGTATATAATTAGAAGCATATAAACATTTGTGATCATTTTCTGATTGTGGTTAATAATTATGGATTAATTCAATTCCCAATAGGCTTCTGTACTCTAATGGTTCTTGGAGGATACCTTGATAGTCAACACAAGTCTCCAGAGCCTTTTAAATTATTCCTGAGCCATATGACATATGGAGTCTTCTTTGCAAATGGCTTCAATAAATTATCTTGATAATCTTATCAGAGTAAATTACCTTACTGGCCTTCCCCAACCTGATACATTCCACATAAATTGGAATGTTCCCAGAATTCCTAGCCAACAAAGTTGAGAAGGCAAGCTAGCAATACAAATGATTAAATACAACCTTTTCAACCACATCCTCACACACTGGTAATAAATTAGATATTATTGGAGAGCTCTTCTTAAGAAAAACACAAGGAAGGTTAATTGATTAGTATATGGATGGCAATGGGAAAGGAAGCAATTTTTGTTTATAAACAAAACCATCCATAATACAGTATTATAAAGATAAGTACAACCATTAAAATGTTTTCAATTATCTTTAATGTGAATCATATAAATATTTAAATATTTAAAATCTTCTTTAAGGTGGAGCTGATTTAACTAATTAAACAACTGCAGTTTAACCTGCTTCTGAGAGCCAACAGGATCAGGGCAAGCCTGGTCCCTAGTGGTTAGCTATTCTGCAATACGGAGACCCTCACAGAGAAGCCTCTTCTCCCAGCTTCAGCCACCCTGACCTCCTGGTAGTAGGGAACTACCAACATTTTCCCCAAGTTGCTCATATTGGATGGGACAATTCTGACTGAAGGATGTGCTCCTCAGCACCAAGCCATACAGGGCTTCATAAATTAAAACCAGCCCTTTAAATTGCACCCAGAAAACTCCCTGCAGCCAATACAGGGCTTGTAGCCCAGGTGTAATGTTCATGGCATCTAGCACCAGTGAGCACACCAGATGCTGCATTTTGTAGCAATTGCAGTTTCTAAGTGGTCTCTGCAGAGCGCACTGCAATGCATCAACCAGGCGGTGATGAGTTACAGGTGCTAGCTCCTCCTGATCCAGGTTATAACTGGTACACTAGCTAGAGCTGAACAAATGCCCTCCTGGTCCCAACATCTACCTGCCCACTCAGCAGTGGCCATGAATTCAGGAGGAACCCTCAAATCATAGACCTGTTCTCTCAGACGCAATGCCTCCCCCTCCAAGCGACATCTTTGGAGTCAGCAAAGAACAATGTTCACCCAGCAACTCTGTCTTGCTTGGATTCAATTTCATCTGCTTCTTCCCATCCAGAGCCTAGCAGGCTGTAAACACTGGGACAAAACTTTGATTGCATTACAAGTGTGGGCCAGGATAGGAATGTATAATTGGGCGTCATCAACATATTGATGATACCGTATCCAAGCTGACAGATGACTCCTCCCACTAGTTTTATGCAGATATTGAAAAGTTGACAGGAGAGGATCAAACTCTACAGCATGCCACACATCACTGAACTGACCTTTCTTAAATATCTATCAACACTGATGCCAAATCTAGCAGCAATCTTTGCGCGTTCCTAGATTGTAAGCTTAATCCTTACTTGACTTTGTGGCTTCTATTCTTCCACAAGAGCCACATCCTGTGTTCATCCAGATTTTTGCAGCCCATTCCTGGTAACTCTATGCATGAAGTTTGGGAGAAAGGTACAATAAAAATCAGCAGTAAGAGAAAGCAAGATTCCTGACCTCTTCTAAAATAGCATTGCTTTCCTTTACCTGCTTCTTAAAGGAAGGACTGTAATTCCATAGAAGTGCATCTGCTTTGCAGGTAAGAACTCCTAGGTTGGGAAAAATTCAAGAGACCCACTGCCATTCAGTATAGACGTTAGTGAGCAAGCATGACCAGTCTCATTACACTTCCTATGGTCCATTGTGATGACCCAGAAAGCTGGAGTCCTTCAGCCCTTCCACTCCTACAGACAATAAAATCCTTACCCTGTTGACGGCCAAGCTCCCACGGATATGAGGTGGAGTGATTTGATGCAGGACGGCAGCCCCCGTCACAGCTCCTAGGATCTGTGCCACCATGTAGAAGATGGCCCTGAGGAGGGAGACCTGGGATCCCACCAGGCATGCTACTGTCACTGCGGGGTTAATATGGGCCCCACTGACATGCCCCACTGCTTGAACCAAGGTACCAATGGCCAAGCCAAATGCAAAGGAGATCTGGAGGATGCTTGGTGGGGAAGGAGACCAGTTCAGAGCTGAGCCCAGGCCGAAGAAGATGAAGAGGAGCGTGGCTAGGAATTCAGCAAGGACAGCTCGAGTGAAGGCCACAGAGCGGAGTTCCCACATCATGGGTGACAACTATGCAGGACAGGCTGGGTTGAGACCTGTAGTTACACTTTTCCTTTTCAACGACGATATTGTATTCTGGAAGGATGGTGGGATAAAATCCGTATGTATGTGTGGATCTACGTGTAGAGAGAGAGGGGTATATATATGTATCTGTATCTATGCATGCAGAGCAGGTAAAAGTTATTTCAGTGGAGGTGGGGTTTGGAAACCTAATGCTTTTTCATTCCTGTTCCAGTTGAGGAGGTTTTAAGCTCTGCCTTCTCTGATAAACTGAAAAATTAACATTTGCTAGCCTTTCCCTGCCCACTTGAGAAAATTCAGCCTTTTACTTCATATTTCCAAACATATTTGGCAGGTTTTCTTTTTTTGCCACTGTCCTTTTTGACCTCTGCTTTCCATCTTTTAAGCACATAGTTTTTATGTGAATTTATTTCAAGTAATTTGTCTATTTGTTTTTTGGCTTGGCTTTGAATTTCTAAGCAATGTCCAGCAGCTGCTCTTCTCTTGTATCCTGTAGTCTCAACTATTTAGACCACCCAGTATCTCTCATCATGGGCCATTCTGGTGGGAGTGGTGATTGGGCAACCTCCAGAGAACCATGGAACCTCCAGTCTGATGCAGCTGGAACTATTGTATATACAGATGCAAGGAGAGGAAGGACTGGAATGTCCTTCTTCAAGGTCAGTGTCCATCTTTGGACTTTTCTAACAAACCTGTTCTTTCTGGAGCCCCATCACTAAATAGAGCCTTGCTAAGCTTCTGTATCTGCAGCAGTGTTCTTTGGATGGGAGAAACATGGCTGCTTAGTGCCTATGGCACCAAGCAGCTGCTATTTCAAATTTCCTACAATGCAATGCCCTACAGTGGCAATCATAGGAAACTCCCATATAACTGACAGCAGCTCTGTCCTACTCATAGCAGTTTGGCACCCTTGACTGATTTTAAGATCCCACCACATCAGCACCATCTGCTATGAATCTACGTTAGGCATGGACAAATGTTCTTCTGCCAATAGCTGCATCCCCACAAGAATATTCCCATGTGGACTGTATTTCATACCATTGGTGGACAAGCCTGTAGGAAGATTTGAAAGCAGGAAGAAGGGTATATGAAGTTGTATTGAGGGTTTCACAGTCTATTACATGAGCAGGTGTGACATTCAGGATAAGTACTGAACAATGGCCCTGTGAATATTTGCTGCTCTTTCAGTTCCATCTTTTTAAATTCCATCTGATTGTCCTTGCTGGATTATAATCTACTTTTACAATTGTTAATCATGGCTAGAAGTTTTAGTATTAGTAGCTTTAAGCAATGCACTTTTTAAATATTTTGTTTTATGCTGTCTTTAAATTTCAGAGTTTTCTAGCAAGGATACAAATCCTTGGTCTCTAGGGTAACTTCCTGGCATTGCTGCTCAAGATCTAAGAGTGTTATCATTGTTTCTTATATCTTTAACTATTGCTCCCCCACTCACCTTCCAACAACCTTCTGCTGGTAATATCTACCCACCTGTTAAGATGGACAGGGCAGGCTTTCTCCAGGATCCCTTGATCAAAGATGGTCATTTCAGAGGCTACAGAAGCCCATCTTCTCAGTCAATGTCCTCTTTCTGTGGAATATCCCCCAGATGTTGGATGGCCCCTTCCCTCCTCACTTTCAGAAAATCTGTAAAGGTTTGGTTGTTCTATCAAGCCAAGACTACAGGGATGTTGGGACTATTCCCTCCAAGATGAGTTGGTTCTTTAGTTTTGACTGTTTAGATTATTATGTATCATGTTTATTTACATTTAGCTAATTGAACTGTGATTTATAGTTTTTAGTATTAATTTTGATTGCTACTGATGTTAGATAAGATAAATATAAGATTATCAGTAATATAATCAAAATGTTACTGATACCTTGTCTGTTTTTAATCCATTTGAGGAATTGTATGTCACTCAAATTAGGTTTTATTAGAGCAGTTTATAAGCCCTGTAAATAAATTATGATGTCTGCATGGATTTTCTGTGTGGCTTTCAGTTTTGGACTATTTCTTCCCCAGCCCCTCATTTGATAAATTCCAAATTCTTCTCTGATGTCCAATTGTCTAGGATACCTATTTCCATATTATTAAGAGACTTACTAACAAACGTGGTTTGTCTTCCAGTGGACCTTCATCCACCATAGCTTTCAGTCTACCCTTTCATACTGCAGGGCAACCCCCCCCCATTTTTTTTTCCTAAAGGAATTCATCACAACAAAATGTTTCTTCTTACTAGAGTCAGAACACTAATTAGCAGTTGATATTCAAATAAAGGGCAATAGCATAATATGTTCTTATAATTGCCCACCCCTAAATAGGTACACCTTGTTGTGGGCCATGCTGCTAGCAAACTTGCTTTTGATTCTTTCTCTTGGGAATTGTGATAGAAGGCATGAGTGAGGAGGATCCTGACTGATATCAGGTTCAGCCGAAGAACCACAACGAGACAGTCCAGGAACAGGTCAGTTACTTTATTAGCTTACACCTACTAGACAGAATCTCACCAGACTAACTGTAACCCCCAACAACAGCAACTATAACCATGAATCCCCTAGGGAGGGGCCAGTCTCCTTCTCTTCACTTTCACACACTCCGGCTGGGGGCTGAGGAGATGCTTGGAATGTCTCTCCTCCTCCCTGTAACTTTGAAGCTCCATTCCAGGATCCTCCTCGCTCATGCCTTCCATCACAGGAAGGTGGCAGTTTATTTACTGGACCCTGTATGCATCATTTGCATTCCGCCTTTGCTCCACAGAATTTAAGGCAGGATGTATGAGATCTTCTTGTTTTGACTGAGAAGGGAATGAGGATATATTCTCACTTATGTCTCAGTAGTAATCTTTTGCGATTATTGCCATTACGTGACTTAATCACTAGAGGATGCTGGACTTAACTACATTTGCGTGAAGTCAGATAACAGAAGTCCTTGTCTCGATTTTCAACTTGGGTGTCTTCAAAACTGACCACAACATGGGATTGGAAACCCTGTTTTGAATTACCAACCCTTAACAAGATAAATTAAATAGCAACTTTCTCTCCCCTGGAGGGTTTTAGTTTTCATAAACTAGCAGCATGGTTTCATTGAGAAGGTGGGGGAGGATTTGAGGCTGTTGCCTGGGCAACAAGCTCTGATTGTCTGATCTTGGGAAAAAGTGCTGCTGTATTAACTGACAGTGTGTCTATACCAAAAACTTTTCATCAGCATTATTCTAACTTGTATAAAGGGCATGGTATTTGTTTTGAAAAAAATAGATGAATACTTAAAAAAAAAAAAACTTACCAAGAATTACAAAGAACCAAAGACAGATTATGAATGGACCTATAACAGTAAGGGAAGTTTCTGAAGCTATAAA